CAAGAGAATCCGAATGGATTTAAGCATAGCTACTGGCGAAAAGGTCTCATCATAATCGATACCCTCTTTCTGGGTATAACCTTTCGCAACAAGCCTAGCTTTAAAGGTTACATGTCTGGTTACATAACATTGTTCTGTTCTGGTATATTTCTTGTATATATGTAGGGTTATATGTCTGATTACATAACATTGTATTGTTATTGTAAAACTACCTCAAAATATCACGAAAATATACCTCCCAAATCTTTTCAGTGCAATTTTTTTCTAACTCTCTAGTGTTTTTTTAAGCCGCCGCATGTTTTTTTTTTATACCGATAAACGGAGATCGTGTATCACAAAATATAATATCTTTTCCATATTTGAAAAACTGATATTGTGCCCCTAAAATTATGGAAGGTGTTCAGCATCCACGTGACGGTTTTTTAGGCATGCTTATAAATACTTTTTATATATTAGGTATATAAACATTTTTTTTTGTTTGGATGGTAATTTTGTAATTACTTAAAAATCTGTAAGTAGAAGTAAAAATCTCCCTATATATATTTTACAATAAAAAATAATGGGCCCTAGCATAATAGTGGGCCTGAGTGGTCGCTTTGTCAGCACTGCTCCTGGGCCCGCTTGGCCCTATCTTCCCCCGTTACCTGCTATGGACCAACCATAGCTGACCCATGACCTGGCCGTTGTGGGGTGGGTTTTTTTATGTTAGCATTTGACCTCTAAATTGGGATTCAGATTGTTCTTGAGTTTTGTTGGGATAGATGTTTTGTATACTTCAGTTTATGGGATCTGGATTTCTCTGTGGGCTCTAAAACACAAATTAAATTATATAATCATATTTAATTATAGCTTTTTGTTCTAAAAATTTGACAATATTCAATGTCAAATCCAATTAATTGTGTTTTTCCCGAAGAAAACCATATAATGTAATTATAACATTCAGGTTTATTTAAAGCACTGAATAAGAAGTTCCGACTAATGAAACTATGGTGTTCCCAAATGCAGCTAGAGAGATTTACCGAAGCCTGCTAAAGCTCAGAGTACATTACATATACACACACACACAAAACCCTGAGCCTTATGTACAAAATATGAAGGCCTCCTCGGCTTCAGATTCTCAGTACTCTGAATGTCTGCCTAAACCATATTTGATCTAAAACGAGAGTTTGATTACTAACACGTGGGAAAAAAAAA